GATATTATAAGGGTTCAATGTTTTACAGCGGAACTCTAAAAAGGATTATAAAACACATTCAATATGTTGATGCAGATTTTACGAACTTCAGTGTAAATTTTCAATTACGAAATAAGTAAAGGAGATTGTATAGGCTTATATTAGTAATATAAGGATATTTCTTTATTTATTTAAGATAACAGAAATTAACATAGTTACAGTTTTGATACAGATATACAATTTCAAACACAACAAACAAATAGTATCAGTATAACATTAATACGTGATTCCAAGGACAATGGCATTTTCTATATATGGCAAAAAATATGAATATACACATGCGCGCATAATATATACATCCGTGCATACATATTACATGAATAAATATAGGGGGGTCATTTTAATAAGTGTATCCAAATTTAATTTTTAAGTTGAAATATATAAATATTGATATACCATTTATGCAGTTTAAAAATACGAGTAAATAAGGCTTCTATTTCTATTTAAAATTATGCCAAGTAGAATGTGATTTATGGGCAACTACACTCGGCGTCAAAAAAATCGCACATCCGAAAAAAATAATTTAAATACTATTTTAACACAACAGGCCAATGGCAATGTTGTGGTTTGAGGGTATCATTCGAAAGGTAATTTCATTAGCTTTCAGAAATTTTAATTGAATTTTACTTTTATAACGAGACGAAAGAGAAATTAAAGAAAAAGACAGGGTATGTACAAATTTGCAAATTAATAATTTAAAAAAAAACTTAATAAATACAAAAAAGTTCTTAAAACCTAGTGTTACCCCCCCTTGCCTTGATAACGGCTTCCATGCGATCTTTCATGGACCTTACAAGGGTCGCAACAGCCTCTTGGGGTGTTTGTTCCCACTCTTCAAGTACCGCATCTTGGAGCTCTTGAAGAGTGGTTGGAGCTGGAACTCGAGCTCGCACGCGCCGTTTTAGGTCATCCCAGAGATGTTCTATTGGGTTAAGGTCTGGACTTCGTGCTGGCCAATGCATAACAGGGATATCGACCTCCTGTAAATAATCCCGTACAATAGCCGCGGTGTGACAACGAGCATTATCATGCATAACATGAATCCATCACCGACATAACCAGCATACGGGACCACATGTTCCTCCAGGATTTCAGTAATGTACCGACCAGCATTTAATGACCCTTGCCCACGGCCACGCCGAGTCCGGGAAACGCACACAAGTTCCGTTTTCCCGTCGACGGAAATGCCGCCCCAAAACATACACGAGCCACCCCCGTATTCGACGGATTCTTCGAAGCAGGGTTGTATGAACCTCTCCCCCTGTCTTCTGTAGACCCTTATACGTCTGTCATTGCAGAAGAGACAGACCCTCGTCTCATCAGAGAAGAGTACGGTCCGCCACTGTTCTAGAGTCCACTCGCAATGATTGCGAGTGGACTCTAGGAACTCTAGGCGATCTCTGCGATGCTGTGCAGTAAGTTTTGGACCTTTAGCAGGTCTATGGGCTGTTAAACTCTTTTCGTGTAACCTTCTTCTTATCGTAGAAACACTCACAGATGTTCTCCGAGTTGATAGAAGCTGTTGTTGCAACTCAACAGCATTTGTAAAACGGTTTCGTAAAGATGTCGTAACGATGAAACGGTCATCTCTTTCTGATGTGCACCGTTTTCTTCCAGATCCCGGTTTTCTATCATAACCACCAGTCTGCTGAAAACGTTGGAACACCCGTCGAACTGAAAAACGGGACAGGTTCAACTGTCGAGCAACGTCACACTGCCGCATCCCCGACTGCAATAGGGCAATCACTTGGGCGGCTTTTTCAGAGCTGGTGTCCATCTTTACTTGTTCTTACTTGGGTTACTTGTTCACGTGTGTTCACTGCAAAGTCTAAATTACGACTGACCCATATTTCATCCAGATCGACCCTTTTATACCCTTTTTAGGTGGTGTAACTAGCGTCCTTACTAACGAGCATTTGACAGTGTTTATTTTTGACGTTCTATAATGATAAATGTTTTAATGATTTTATGATTTTTTTATTAATAAAGTAAAGCTATTCAAATACCCATTTCAAACATACCAATATTTATATAAATATAATTCGATTCTAGCCATTACAGCCATTTTTCGCGCAAACTCAGAGAACTCGATTTTTGTGACGCTGAGTGTACTACAGCACACGCGCGCTCCTATGTGTGCGATTCAATTCAGTCGTTGTAATAACTAAATTGTAATTATAAAATACAATTTTCCCTTCATACTTTTAACAGGCTCAAGATCTTAATATCTTTGCATATAAATGTCGTATCCGGCGTCTGTCATTATTACAAACTATTTACAAGTAAATTAAAATAAATTACGCAAATAGTCCCAATAACTAATTTATTGGTACCTCAAAATGGAATCCGTTTCTCTCACTGCATAGACGAGCACGGTTTCTTCAATTAATTACTTAACTTTTTAAATTTTGCTGCTTCTGTCTTCAAAACCTTGGACTTCTTGAAGTAAACACGTCTCTTTATTTCACCATACAGATAAAAGTCTAACGGTGTATGGTCCGGTGACTTTTCAGGCCCTAGTATGTGGCCTCTCCGCGCAATACACCTACCTATATTATATTCACTATATAAATAATCGCGCACTGCACCTGAATAGTTTGGTTAGCTGCCAGTTATTCTTCAGTTGGTAGGTACACAATTTCTCGCCTTTGCAAACGCAGTGAAGACCCACTTTCATATAATCTTTGCCCACCATGTTAACTTTCATTGCTTAAAATTTAAAATGTAGCACCGTAATATTTCATAGTATTCGTGGTTCGAATATTTTCGTTGCCATAGCGACATAAGTAAAGAAAACAGCATACAAAGTGACAAGTGATACTACCTACGAAATATAAGAAAATTTAAAAATAGCGCATTGTAAGCTATAAGTCGACCTGGCAGACGTATGACGCGGGAAGACGCGCGGCAAGGTAACTATATATCTAACCGAGCGACCTTTACGAATGTGTGCGTGCGAAGTAAAATAGTAGGCGTTAGATATTTATGAATGACAATCAGTTAAAATAAATATGATACAATAATGCATTTCAACGCATTCTGAATTTAAAAAATAAAAAGGACAGAATTTTTTTATTTTTTTTCACCATTCGCCTATATTACCTAATCTGAATCTCCTCTGCAAATTTAGGCATATTTTGCAAAATAACCCTGTATAGGATAACGCAAAAATTTTAAAAATAGTGACTAAGAGTACAATTTCAAAGTAATTTTCTTGTGTAGAGACAGAGTTAACTTATCGTATTCTGTATGTTAACCCGAGATAGTTTTCGTGGCTCCGATTTATGGTGGAATGGTCACAAATATACAATTGTGTCAGTATCATTTTATTCATATAACTTTCCATCCCCTGGACATCGTAATTGATTATAAGGGACTATTTTGTCGCCTTCCATAGAACCCTAACCACCTTAAATATGATTTAATTTAGAAATAAAACGTTTTGATTACTAATAGGGAGTTGTCCATGATAGGTCTAGAGCTAGGGTCACACTTTCATCTATTGATATTTCCGAAACCAGCTAAAGGGACGTACGTCATCTCAAAAATATCCGGAGTAAATAAGGTTGATGTGCTGGTATATAAATGGTACACAGACCTTTAGGATATGTGCTGGAGGTGATTTTTATTTTTATTTTACGATTTTGCAAAATTTTATATAAAACAATCGAAATTTAAATTCTTAAAAATATAAGTACTGTTTTATTTTTAGGACAAAGCGTTTTATTTTAAGAGGCTTAATTCAGCACCTCTACCGACAATGGTTTTAGTAGGGCTCAGCCCGACTTAATAAGGATAACAGAGTCGTGTTTGAATTTTGTAGTTTATTTTACACTGTACAAGAATAACTTTGGTAGGTAGCCATTAATATTTGAAAATTATACTAGTTTATTGCAAACTATTAAAACTCGAGATACGATAGCTCTAGGCTGTTCACGATTAGTTTCATAAACAAAGAACACAGCTTGATAATGTTGTGAAAGCTAGTTTTATACTTAGCTCAAAATTGGCAAAGGCATTAAAACCATTTGCCGAAGGAGAATTTATCAAGGAGTGTATGTTAGAAGTTTGCGGTATTTTGTGTCCTGAAAAGAAAAAAATTAGTTTGTCAAGACGAACTATTGTTCGACGTATAGAAATGATGGCTAATGATATAAAAAACAACATTGACTGACCGTATGGCTGGTTTCGAATCATTTTACATAGCATTAGACGAGAGCACCGATTTGTCTGACACAGCTTAACTGGCTATATTTATTCGAGGTGTTGATAAGGAGTTCACTGTTACTGAGGAATTGCTTGCTTCACAGCCGCTTAAAGGAACCACTACAGGAGAGGATATTTTTATTGAAGTTCAAAAGGTATTCACAAGTTTTGGCTTGCCATGGTCAAAATTAATTGGAGTATGCACTGATGGTGCACCTTCTATGGTCGGCTTACGTAAAGGTTTCATCGGAATTTTGAATGAAAAAGCAACAGAATTAAATGTACAAAAAGATGATTTAACAGTCCTTCATTGCATTATCCACAAACAGAACTTGTGTTCTAAATCCATTCGACTCCAGAATGTTATGAATGTGGTAGTGAAAACCATCAACTTTATTCGATCCCGAAGTCTTAACCATCGTCAGTTCAAGGCGTTTTTGGATGAAATATCAGCTGAATATAACGACGTAACATATTATTGTGAAGTCAGATGGCTGAGCAAAAGAAAAATGTTGAAACGGTTTTACGAACTTAGAAATGAGATAGCAGACTTTATGAAAATAAAAGATAAACCACTATCTGAATTAAGTGACCCAAAATGGATATGTGACTTAGCATTTCTGGTCGATCTTACAGGCTAATATTGTATTATTATATTAATGTATTTGAAACTTCAAAAACAAGGACAGTTAGTAAATCATTTGTACAGCCATTTGAAAGCGTTTCAGATCAAACTACGCTTGTGGGAGTCACAGATGCTGTCTGGTAACAGTTACCATTTCAACACGCTCTCTGCGTATGAAAATATTGCTTATGTTCAATATGCTGCAGAACTCAAGTTACTGTCGGAACAATTTTCGAACAGATTTAGCGACTTCAAAAACATAGAAGACTGTTTCAGTTTATTTGCTACTCCTACAAAATGTAATATACAAATTGCTCCAATACACTTACAAATGGAGTTGATCGAGATTCAAGAAAACTCACTCCTAAAATCCAAATTTGAAGACGTAGAGTTGTGCAATTTCTTTTTTTTTTTTTTTTTTTTTTTATAGAATAGGGGGCAAACGAGCATGCGGCTCACCTGATGTTAAGTGACTACCGCCGCCCATGAACAACCGCAACACCAGGGGAATTGCAGATGCGTTGCCGGCCTTTTAGAAAGGTGTAAGCTCTTTTCTTGAAGGTTCCTAAGTCGTATCGGTTCGGAAAATTCGCTGGTGGTAATTGATTCCACAAAGAAGTTGTGCGAGGGAGAAAACTTCTTCTAAATCGCACAGTGGTGGACCGCCAATCATCCAGATGGTATGGATGGTAACGCGAGTTTTGTCGCGACGTGCGATGGTGAAATTGAGCGGCTGGAATTAGTCCGAACAATTCCTCAGAGCACTCCCCGTGATAGATGCGATAAAATACGCAAAGAGATGCAACATCTCTACGCAGTGCCAGTGTATCGAGCCGATCGGAAAGAACTCGGTCGTCGACGATTCGAATCGCTCTGCGCTGGATGCGGTCAAGTGGAAGGAGCTGGCACTGGGGTGCCCCGGCCCAGAGATGAGAACAGTATTCCATGTGGGGCCGAACTTGCGCTTTGTAAAGTTGCAAGCGATGTGCCGGCATGAAATACTGTCTCGCTCTGCTGAGCACGCCAAGCTTTTTAGAGGCCAATTTGGCCTTCCCTTCCAAGTGACCACGAAACTGCACGTTATTCGATATGTCGACGCCAAGGATTCCGATACTGGCTGAGGCAGCAAGGGGAGTGCCTTGAAACTGAGGAGATACGACAAAGGGGTTCTTTTTAGCGGTAAACGCGCAAACTTGTGTCTTCTGGGGATTGAACTGGACTAGATTTAGTCGGCCCCAATCCGAGACTTTGTTAAGCAAAGACTCGACTTCAGACACAAGTTTGTCCCGGTACTCGGCGACGTTTTCCCGAGAAATATTGGCACGGCCGGTATATAAGGCATCCCCAGTGCTGTCGTCTGCATAGCAATGAATGCTACCAGTTAGCAACATATCATTGATATGCAGGAGAAACAGCGTTGGTGATAGCACGCAGCCTTGTGGAACACCAGCGTTGATAGGCTTGTAATCAGAGCATGCACCGTCTACTACGACCTTGATGCTCCGATCAGCAAAGAAACTGGTGATCCATTTGCACAATTTCTCGGGAAGCCCATAGGAAGGAAGCTTCGAAAGAAGCGCCTTGTGCCAGACCCGATCGAAGGCCTTCGCTATGTCCAAACTAACGGCCAATGCCTCCCCCTTGGACTCTACTGCCTCCGCCCATCTATGAGTTAAGTAAACTAAAAGATCACCTGCTGATCGACCCCGACGAAAACCGTACTGACGGTCACTGATCAGCTGGTGATCCTCAAGGTACCTCATGAGCTGGCAGTTTATAATGGATTCCATTATTTTGGAGAACAAGGAGGTGATGGCGATAGGCCTGTAGTTGGACGGGTCTGAGCGGTCGCCTTTTTTAGGGATCGGGTGGACCAAAGCTGTCTTCCATGAATTCGGAACTACGCCTTGGGAGTAGGAGTACCGGAAAAGACGCGTTAAAACCGGTGCCAACTCCGGAGCACACGTCTTCAGCACAATGGGAGGGACTCCATCGGGCCCACTCGACTTGCTGACGTCCAGGGAGAAGAGTGCTTTGCGAACCGAGCGCTGTGTAAATCGCACATCCGGCATGGAGCACTCACATCGCGGGATGGTCGGCGGTGTGTTCCCCCCGTCATCTAGAGTCGAGTTGGACGCAAAAAGAGAGCACAACAGATCGGCTTTCTCTTTTGCGGCATGGGCCAGTGAGTCGTCCTCTCTGTGCAGAGATGGGAGGGATGGCTGACAGAAGTTCCCTTGGACAGCCTTGGCGAGAGACCAGAATGCACGGGTTCCCGAAGGAAGGCGAACTAGCTTCTCGCCAATTCTGCCGATGTGCTCAGACCTTGCCTTGGCAATGACGCTTTTGAAGGACCTGGAGGCGGAATTATACTTCTTTTTAAGTGCGCTGGTGTTTAAATCCCGAGACGTTGATGCGTCAGCCCAGGCCCGGTAGCACTCCTGCTTATAGCGTGATGCTATTTTACAGGAGCGACCAAACCATGGCTGGGATCTGCCTCCGATGGGCACCACAGAGGATGGAATAAAAAGTTCCATACCCTGAAGTACCACATCAGCAACAGAATCGGCAACAACGCTGGGATCTTCCGGCGAGAAGCAAACCCGCCCCCAAGGGTAGGATGCAAAAAAAGACCGCATCCCGTCCCAATCAGCTGACCTATAGTGCCAAACACGGCGGCAAGCTGTAGATCGCAACTGCGATTGGAGCGTGAGTGGCACTGTGCTCCGGATCAGACAATGGTCCGAAGAGCCCAGAGGGGCATCGACGGAGACCTGATATCCGTCCGGATGAGAGGTCAGCAGAAGGTCCAACAGGGAAGGTACATGGTCTTCCACATCTGGGATCCGCGTAGGCGAAGTAACCAGTTGTGTTAGACCATATGCCAAAGCAAAGTCGTAGACAGATCTACCCGCATGATCGGTTGAACGAGAACCAAGCCATTCAGCGTGGTGGGCGTTGAAATCACCGAGTATCACGATCTCTGCGGATGGGACCTGTTGTAGCACGGAGTCTGCAGCCATTTGGACGTGGTCGATGAGTCGGTCTGTGTCGGCATTACCGCTATGGGACCTATAGAGGCACCCGTAGACGCGGGGATGGTCGTCGCTGTCTACGCGCAGCCATAGGATGGACAGGTCCGTACCTTCAAGGCTGCCGAGGCGTCGAAAACAGATGTCCTCTCTGACGTATACACAAACTCCAGCCCGGGGCACAAAGGAGTGTTCCAATTTGTACCCCGGGTAGGAGAGATATGAAGTATCAGCCGGAGAGGACACCTGAGTCTCGGTTAAAAAGAGCAAGGCCGGCTTCGCCGTCTCTAGATGGTAATGGACAGCGTTAAGGTTGGAATGAAGTCCCCTGATGTTGCAAAAATTCACGGATAGCGTGACAGGGGTCGCCTTGGTTGTATTGCTCCGCTTGCCCCGAGCAGCATTAGTCACGAGCGGAATTTTGCCCCCCCCAGAATACGCGGGGCAGCCTGAGCACCCACGCTCAGGAGTGAAGTAGTTTGTTCGTGGATGCTCAGCGAGGGATTCTCCAGGGTTGCTGGTACCCTCCTGGGGTAGTCTTGTATTTAATTCCACTACCATGTTGATGGGGGGGGGGGGGGGGGGGGAATTGGGCCGCCGGCCACCTGCACTCACCAAACGCAACGCAGAGGTAAACCTCTACTTCACGCTGGTATTCTGTGATTCTGTTCTACCAAAACTACCTAGAAAAAGACAATTTTCCGCAGCTTAGAAAATTCGCAAGAAGATTGATTTGTGCGTTTGGCAGTACTTATAAATGCGAACAGTTCTTTTCATTGATGAAAGTTACTAAATCAACACATCGTACAAGACTGACTGACGATAATTTGGAAAATTCTTTACGTCTTTGTATCAGTGGTATTAATGCAAATATCGATGGATTAGTTTCCCGAATTCAAGCTCAAGTGTCACATTAATTTCGGTGTATTTAACTTTCATAGTTTGTAACAATTGCAAATTTAACGATATAATTATAATGTACCATTTTATTAAATTTCATTTTGTTATTTTAATAAATTGTACTATAATAATATTGTCGTATTATTTCATGTCTAATATCTATCGCAAAAAATATTATCACTACTTTAAACTAAGTGCACTAAGTACTTTTAAACGCGGCCCACGAACGTATTTGCACGCAAAAGTTTGGCCCTCAACATGTCAAAGGTTGCTCATACCTGATCTAAACCATTCTCAAATCAACTTAATCACACACACAAATTTTCATCAAAATGGGTTCAGCCGTTTAGGTCAGTCACATACACACAAGCAGAAAAATTATATAAGTAAAGATATAGTGCCTGTATACGCTTTACCTAATTAGTTATATTCATGACTTTGTTAATGTTTAGTTTGAATCTCTCAGCAATGCTTTTGTAAAAAAGGTGAGGACAAGCAATTTTGAATTAGTTTATTGTGAATTTCATTTATCACGTGCTTAGCGGTGAAGGAATCATCGTGACTAAATCCGCATGTCTAAGTAAAATAATAATAACATTTTAAGTCCGCTAATATACATTGGAGCAGTGTGGCGAATTTTGCTTTAACCTACACCCTTTCAGAAATGAGAAGAGCCCTTTCTATTATAATTAAGTGATTATCTAATATATTGAAGACATCGACTTATTAGCTTGAAGATTGTCCGTCAAATGGTTACTAAAAAATAATATCACGAAACCAATTAACTTCCAATTATTATTGTGTAAAAACTCGACCTTTTTTCTGCGTTACACTCAAAAGGATGCAGAACAAAGACCGGAGAACTTTCTCAAAGTATAAAAATTAAGTTGTTAGCGCTTCTTTTTATCTGGGCCAGTACACTGGCAAGTTATATTGTTTTTGTTTATTTTATTATAACGACTATTAGCTAGTAATTACCTAAGTATAACCGGCTCGGGTGCTTTTATTTGCTTAAATACTTAACGAATAATATTTACTGATTTTGGAGATTTTGCGTCAAGAAGTAAATGAAAAGTATTTTCCATTGATATTTATTTAGATACAGCGAGATTTTTCAGACTTCATGTACCTTAAAAAATACTTAGAAAGAAAGACACATATTTATTTGACCGAACACACAGCATTGACTTGACTAACTTGACATTTAGGACTTACACGTCTTCCCACTACGGGTTAGGTGCCCAATACGACGGAGTTATTGGTTCCACGTAATTGGAAACTAACAGGTGAATTCATTTACTTTTCAGGGACTTCGCAATAGTATCTATGCCAAAATGCCAAACGGTAAATCGAACTATCCACTAAAATTGCTAAATATAAATAATGTATAATTATTTAGAATTAAATATAAGTATGTATGTAATTGAAGTTAGGACAGCATACCACTCTGTACTCACCAACCTGCCTCCCCAGCGCGCAGACAATCCCCACACGCCACAAGGCTAGTTTCGTTCACACTAGTTTTGTTCTCTGTCTCCTAGTATCAAAATTCGTATAGAAACTACATTCTTGAAAATATAACATAAGAGAGATGCTTTAAGAAAAGTAATCTTGTTGTTCATTTGGGAAAGTTTGCTGTTTCATGTACTTTTGAACATTTAGTACACACCAGTGATACCAGGAAACTCCAGAAAGTTTCTGTAATGATTTCTTATTTACGCGAACACTACACATTAAATAAAACTATTTTTACGGATTCTATCGCATTTAATTTAACTTTTTAATCCCCGACGTTTCGGGTGCTTTAAGAGTTACATACAATTTGATCAGATTCTTTGTAAGACGATCATAAGTTTAAATATAAATTATTTTATCATAATTTATAATTTAAATGTAAAGTAAATATATAATTTATAATTTAAATATAAAGTAAATATATAATTTAATAACGTAAACTTAAACCCCCACATTGCTCTTACTATTATAAAAGGGCAAAATTCTTGACCTCGTGCTGAGTAACACAATCTGTGATATTTCCATAAAAAAATCAAACAGTATAATTTCTCGAATAGACAACTATCATCCCCCAATTGAAGTAGACTTAGTTTTATGTAAAGCAAAAATGCTCTCTCCAAGACAAACTCCTAAATACAAGTTTTTTTTAGCGAATTATGATAGTATACGAGCCCGTTTATCTGACCTTAACTGGACTTCGGAGTTCCAAAACTGTTCGACTGTTGATGAAGTTGTATCGAAGTTTTACTCTATTATAAAAAAAGTTATCACTGAATTTGTTCCATGTCGCATAAAAAACAAAAAATCATATCCTCCATGGTATACAACAAACCTCATAAAACTATTACGAGAAAAGGAAAAATCTCGTCAAAAGTTTAAAAAGTACAGGAATGATTTAGATAAATTTGAATACAATATCTTAAAAGTTAGGACTAAAACATTAATCAAAAAATGTTATGACAGATATACTGAAAATGTTGTTGACAGCGTTATTAAAGACCCCAAGTACTTTTGGACTCATATAAAAAATAAACGTAAGAATAATGGTTGTATACCGTCTAATATGAAATTTGGAGACAAAGAAGCTAATAATGGAGAAAAAATTTCCGACCTGTTTGCAGAAAATTTTGAATTAGTATATAAACCTATTGATATTAGTTTACATATAAACAAAATGGAAATACCAAAGTCTGCTTTCTCCATGGGGAATCTTTATTTAAATAATGACAGTATTGAGAAGTGCTTAAAGGCTCTAGATATTACTAAGGGCGCCGGAAGTGATGGGATTCATCCCTTGTTTCTGAAGGAATGCGCTGTAGAGCTCACGATACCTTTACATATTATTTTTAATAGATCATTATCTGAAGGTATATTTCCGAAACGTTGGAAGGATGCAATAATTATACCATTACATAAATCAGGCGACAAAAGTAATATCTGCAACTACAGACCTATTAGTATTCTTCCAGTTTTAGGTAAAGTTTTTGAATCGTTAATTTGTCCTTATTTGACTTGGCATATAAAACATATTATAGCTGATCAACAACACGGATTTTTTAAAAATCGCTCTACTACATCCAATCTTATTACACTTGTTGACAGAACACTTACTAGAATGAGCTCAGGGAATGAAGTAGATTGTATTTATAATGACTTTAGTAAAGCGTTTGACACAGTAAATCATTCAGTTCTAATCAACAAACTGCACACATTATTTGGCATACATGGATGCTTATTAGATTGGTTTGCTTCATATCTCACAGATCGAACACAAAGAGTAGTCATTAGCGGTTTTGTTTCTAGAGAAATTATCCCAACGTCTGGAGTTCCACAAGGCTCGCACCTTGGCCCATTACTTTTTATTATGTTTATCGATGATATTAAGCACTGTATCCGTAACTCCGAATTTAAATTATACGCAGATGACCTAAAGATATCCAAAATTGTGAATAATAACACAGACCAAATTCAACTTCAAGAGGATATAGATAGAATTACAGAATGGTGTCGGCAAAATAAAATGTCTCTCAATACAAATAAATGCTATCACATTAAATTCTCTCGAAAATTTAACAAATATAATAGTAGTTATAATATAAATGGTGTACTCGTAGATTTAGCGAAAGTAGATGAAGTTAAGGACTTAGGCATTGCTATTGACACTCAGATGCGATTTACTAACCACATTAACAATACCATACATAAATCATTAAGAATGTTAGCTTTTATTTTCAGAAACACCAAAGATTTTAAGTCGGTTTTAGCGTTAAAAGTTCTCTATTTTGCACTGGTTCGCAGTCATGTTGATTATTGTTCAGTCGTATGGTACCCGTCTTATCAAAACAATATTCAGTGTATAGAAAGAACCCAAAAAAGATTTTTAAATAAAATATCTTATGTAAGTGGCGTTCATCGTACAATTCGCAGATACTCTGAAAGATTAGCGCATTTCGAAATTTTATCATTGGAGCAGCGAAAGAATTTGCTATCTATAAGCCTTTTACATAAACTACTTAATAATAAAGTGGATTGTCCATCCCTCCTATCACAAATTAACTTGAAGGTGCCCAGAATTTCAGCAAGGTTGTGTAATTTTAGTCCCTTTAGTGTAAATTTCAATAGCAAAAATTATGGTAACAACTCTCCTCTATGTTCTATGATGAGAAAATACAATGATATATTCGGTAAATGTAATATAGATCTCTTTAGTGATAGTCTGGGTTCCTTAAAAAAGAAAATATTTCTATACTACACTCAAACTGAAAATTAAAACTTTAAATTATACCACTTTAAATTATACAATGTTAAGCTCTCTACCAAATTATAATTTTACCTGTATTGCATAGAATAGTCTTTGTGTTTTATTATCTGTTAATTTCATAACTAATTTTAAGTTTCATGTTGAAATGTTGTGCATACCTTTAAGTTAAATACATATATAGTATAATTTTGTTTATAACTGCAAATGTTTAATAATAATGTTTTGTATGTGTTTAGTTGGTAAGCCTAAATAAATAAATAAATAAATGAATAAAAATATTGTCTCCTTATACCTAGATTTACATACTTACTCCGCTCGATTTCAGTATGCAAATATTTGGATATTTTAAAATATATTGATAATAATCTTAAAAAAGCTATAGAAAAAATCTAAATTTAACTTTAAATACAACAGCCTAGACTCAAGCTACATTTCCTATAAAATTTGCTGGTATTGGTGTAAGAAATTTTTCTAGCGTTGCGTTGCCTGCTTTCCTTGCTTCCGTGCATAGACTTATGTAACTTAATTTTAAATAATAAAGTAGATCTGTGCTTTGCTACGGAGCCGGGGCAGACATGGCAAACGCACTGTCCCGGCAAGAGTATTCCACTGGAAGTTAACCAACAAAAACAGTGGGATATTCCATTGGTAAAGAGTGCGCAGAATGATTTGTTTCATAATTTCCATAGTGACCAAGAATAGGCTCGCCTTCTAGCTGTTTCGACTAAGGAATCTAGTCAC